AAAAAAAAAAAAAAAAATACATAACTCAACAAGAGGAATTTTCTAGATGTATAGGCATATCAATGAAAAAAAAAATTATCCCAAAGAACAATATATCCAAAATTCACATTTATCATTTTTCCTCCTAAAACCTGCATCACATCAACTTGATTAATATGACCCTGAGTTTGGGCAGTAGACGATAGATTTCCAAAAAAGAACATCTCGTTTTTAAACTCATTCTATCAACAAAAAAAGGCTGAATTTTTCAGTAGGCCTGGAAAAACTCTCTCCTAATCTTTCTCGGTTTGAGTCTCTTATACGCCATGAAAGTTACTGCCGCCGAAAGAGAGTACCTGCGAAAAAGCTCTTCCTAAGCAAAGTACTAAAAGAAAACATGCAAAAACAACAGTAGAAAACAAACGAGATTTTTATAGTATTGTACCATGTTAGAATGTAGTTGACATGGGCCTGTGGCATAACCGGGAATTGTATTAAGGTATTGACGTCCTTTGGGATAGGGTATGGGCTGCTTGGACTCACATTTTCATTGATATCTTCGATGTAAAGTGTATTTTCAGGAAGTCCACACACACGAGCAAGTGCAGGTACATCCACATAAAACCACTGGAAAGAATTCGGGTCGTTTGGCGGGACAAATATGTTGGGATTTTCATTACCCCTCACAACACCAATGACTTCAGTAGGGACTATAGGTGGTGGTAAAAGGGGCTCCTGTCAGAAAAAAATAAAAAACATAATTTTACAAGATTCTAAATGGATTTATCATATAATGGAAATGGACTTCTCCAAAACTCTCCACCATTTACTTCTATCGAATGGACTTTTTGGAGAATCAACTTATCGATAAGTCAACTATGTTTGGTAAACCTCGCTAATAAGCTAGTTGATAACTAATAAGTGATTTTCAAGTTTATAGCTTATGACTTATAGCTAAAAAAACTAGCTTATATGATAAAAGTGATACGTAAAATTAGGTTATAAGCTAGCTCAAATAAAAATTACAACGAGCTTGTTTGAATAGGTACCCAAGGTCGAGCTTTTCAGAAAAGCTCATCCTACCAAACGAAACATATTTCCAAACATAGCCTTATAATTTATCACGGAATGGACATTGGCATCAAAAAGTCCATTTGAGAAGTTGTTTTCCAAACAAGCTAAAATTTGTTTAAAAATATAAAGAAACACGAGTGTTTTTTTACCTTGGGAGATTCTGGCTTATTAGACCAAAACCGCCACCAGGAAGATTTAGGACTCTCTGGAGTCGAGGGAAGTGGGCTGCTTGGAGGGGGAATATCTTGTGAAGGAGGCTCTAATGCCTTGTCTCGCCAACTACGCGGGACCCATCCTCTGTTAACTAGTATAGGTGATTTCATGCTGCAAAAATATCTTTTACTTGAATTACATGAATATTCTTGTATCTCATTTGGAAAGTTCAAATTTTAACTTCGCAAACATTTAGAAAGATGACAATGGATGTAAAAGTGAATGTAAACTGTAAACATGCGTAGCCAATTATGAATTGCCCATTGGGTTTTGACTATACAGAACACAGAGAAAATGTAAAGTTGATATCAAATATAAATTTTTAAATGTCTACAATACAAAAAAACTGAGACAGCATAAATATTTCTGAGATAAGGAACAGAAGATATATACGTTGATTAAAAAAAAAAAAATTGTCACCTCTATGAGCTCAGATTCATTTTTAAAAACCAATTTACAAAGTTCATATTCCACATCAATTTCGGCTTATGATATCGTAGATATTTTGTTTAGTGCTCACATACAAATAAGCTCACTGACGTAGCAAAAGTGTAACGAAACGATAAAACAAGAGAAAGACTCTCAAATAAATTCAACCCATTCAAACAAAAGAGAATATGAGTCTTTAAATAGAACTCCTAAAAGCCCTAATCTTATCTAACAAGTAAAGGATATTTAATCATCTTTCCTAGCAAATAAAAGACTAGAACAATTAAATATCTTCTACCAAATAAAAAAACTAGAATAACTAAATAACTTGAACAAATCGAGGACTAAAATACTAACAATAAATAAAATGAATAAATAATTAAATTAAAGATCCCAAAGGTCATGTTTGTTCTCATCTCCATCATTTACCCAAAAGCAACTTGAAATTTCAGCATGAAGAACTCTGAATGAAGCTAATATTATCTGCGCAAATTTTTGGAGGAAAAAGAAAAAATATACGAACCTTTCAGGATCACCGGGGACTGGAACAAGTGGAGTTATGATGTAATATCCATTTTCAGTCACCCCAGATATGCTCCTTGAACGTGGACCCACATATATCGACTTTTTCTCATCGAAAACTCCTCTACACTGCACTCTCCTGAAATCCATGGAATCCACCCTCCCACTGGAAGACACGACTAAGTCGCTCTTAATCGGTTCCATTTCTAGCCTACTCTTTCTATACTCCAACATATTTATCTACAAATTAAGCATGAAAATCAATAATTTAGTAAATAAATGAGTAAACTAACCAATAGAGAAAAGAAAGGTCTAATTAGAACATAAGGGGATTTCTATATCTTCAAAGCTCCGTCCACAAGAATGTTAATGCACAAATGACTTTTGCAAACAAACAAGTGAGGCTCTCAATTGATCCGAAGACACGATTATAGAAACAAATGACACGACGGACGCGATACGAAAAGCACGAAATAAAAGATTTAGCTAAATTTATATTTAGTATCATATTTATAATCGAACTAAACATAAATGAAAAAACAATAGTGAAACACAAAACACGATACAATAGCACGGTCTGCCACATTTAATTTTACACCATAGTCGCATCCTAAAATCAGCTAACGGTCTGCCACAATTAATTTTGCACCATATTCGCAACCTAAAATCAGCTATGTTCCTAAAAAACGATCAAATATGTCAATCCAGCTCAACAGCCCACTGTGCCAAGATCCCCAATATCACCTCCCAAAACAACAATATATTTTCTTGCAAGTATTGATGGAGGAGAAAGCAAAAGATAACATCTACACTTTAGCAGAGCCCATTAATTAAACAAAGAAAATAACCTTCTCTTGTCTCCTGATAATTTGCCAAGTGCCAAGGCCAAAACTCACAGCCCCTGGTATGAAAAGCAACAGCTTTGACCACGTTGACCTCCCCCCTTGCTCTGCAAATTCCATATACGCTGCAAAACCCCATGAATAAGTCAGTTCCAGTTAAATCCGACCCAAAAAAAAATGTATCAATTTTCGCGACAAGTATCTTAGAAAACCTGCAAAAAATACGATGATTTAGAACTGACCTTGCTCTTTCCGAGGTAAATCGGAGATGGCAGGGGTGGAATTGGAGAATCGAGATGAAGGTGGGGCCCATTTAGGGGGAATCGGGAGTTTCAGCCGCCACCGGAGAGTCCTGAAGATGAATTCGGCGGCCATTGTACGGAGCTATATTCACGGCTGACTTATATCACTGTGCTAGTTTACGTGCAGCTAACAACCAAAGACCGCATCTTTAGAATCGATCATAGTTACACAAAACCCTAAAATCTCGATGCTAAAACCCCACTGCGTGAAGGGAACTGTATGTAGTACATACTGAAAGCTACTTTAAAAAGGTCAGAAATTTTATACATTTTTTTCAATTATTATTCGAGGAATTTATTATTATTATTATTATTATTATTATTATTATTATTATTATTATTATTATTATTATTATTATTATTATTATTATTATTATTATTATTATTATGTAGTACATAA